AAAGCAGAGAAGGAGAAAGCAGAGAAGGAGAAAGCAGAGAAGGAGAAGGCAGAGAAGGAGAAGGAAGAGAAGAAGAAGGCAGAGGAGGAGGCAAAGAGGGCAAAGAAGGAGAAAGCCGGAAGCCCCAAGCCTCGGATCAGGAGAACGAAAACAAAAATGCGGGCACTTCAGAGTCCTAAGAAGAAGGCAAAAGCAACCCCCGCAAAGAAGCCTGCTTCTGTCAAGCCAGAAGAGACTCCAGAAGAGCTAGAAGAGCCAGAAAAAAAAGATGGGGATGTAAAGGCTGATGAAGAAGCAAAGAAAAAGCATCAGGCTGAATCACGAGACCTTGTGAAGGAGCACTGGGGGTCCTTGTTTAGGGTATATAGTGCAGAGTGCATGAATTCATGCATGAGTGAAAGCTGTTGCACTACCTAGTTGATCACACATGTGTCATAATGACTGTCATATATATACAATACATTGCAACATAGTGTCTGTGTCCAAATCTTCGCTTCTGCAAATATGTGTTAATTCGATCGCATTTGTAGTAACCGGCCTTCATCTTGATCTCCAGGAGGAAAAGCGCCAACTGCTGAAGGCGGTGGCAGAGCAGGACGAGTGGATGTCCCTGCCATCTGACTCTTCAGCCATGCACCGACCCCAGCTTGTCGCCGATTAGATATCGCTAAAAAGTAATCGTGGCCATCTTATGTGATGCATGCCACCAGCTGGCAATTTCATCTCTGGTTCTAGATCCCAACTGTGACCCAAGAAAACCTGAAAGATCCTTTTCCAACCATTAATGTGCTCAACAAAAATGCGTGCTGCCCAGGTCTTACACGCTCTATCTTCCTGATGGGGTGCCAACAGAGTCCCCTGCGTCATCCATTGGGGTTGTGCCCGGAGCCAAGCGAGCCATGTATGAGCATGGATCTATAGATGCAATGGTGAAGCATGCAGTTCCAGTGCACTTGCCATCATGCATGCTAGCAGGGTTTATACCGATTAAAGCATCCGATACTGCACATCATCGCATCAGCTGCTCTTTGATCAAGCATTTGTGGAATCAACCGCATGAGGCTGATAACATCGCGAAGCTGTACTTCAACTTTCCAGGTCTCAAAGGTACAAGGTTTGGAGGAACGGGTCAGCAGGGTCAATGCAAGATTGCCTGCAGGGGCATTACCTCTTCAGGCCAGATTTTTATTAGTGATTCACACACTTGAGCAAAATGACTATTACACCATACATGTCTTGCATTGATCGACTAAGTTTATCATTAATATAGTACGTAATATACGCGAGCTTGCTTGTGGGCAGGACAACCATAAATAAATATATTGTAGAGCAAAACGTAAACAAGTAGCTTCTTCTCTGGCAGGCACGCAAGAAAGGTGTGACAATTACATGGAATGTCCATGGTGGTTGCCAGAAAGCGTGGGGTGTCCCAGGTAACGACCTCATTTTATTGGGTTCACTATGTCCGTGATGTAGTGGCTATATGGCAACATGATCGAGACATAGAGCAGTTTATACACGATGTCAAAGCGACCCTGCAATCTCCATTATAATCGATCTTATTCCGAAAGCCACAAAATCCAATTGCATCAGCCCCGTCTCCGTCCTCCCAGGTGGGACTTGGCTAAAGACGTGGCAGGATGGCCCAGGAAGGATCTTGCGCAGTGAGCTCATTAGGATGCCTCGGAGGGTCCCAGCTTCATAGTATATAATATGCGTTGCACATTGAGATTTGATATATCAGCTCGAATGATCTGTTTTTCAACATGCTCAGATCAGAAGTATGAATTTGCCATGAGAACAAGAATCGTGTATTGCTTTCGATTCGGTATACGAGCTGGATCCGAGTTTTGCTGTGAAATCTAGCGTTCTTATTCGGCGTGGTTAGCATGGCCACTTCCTACAACCATGGATGCTACAAAAAAAATCGACTAATTGTAATGACTCATATCATGCATGTTTTATCTTAATTACGTACGTACTAGGATTTGGCCATCCCCAATGCCAAAGCTAGATCCATTTTGATCTTACCGCTTGTGGATTTGAAGACAAATCATTGCGAAACGTGAGAGTCTGAAAAAATGAATATAGTACAGTCGCAACTAGTATACTACCTAGCTACGTGCTGTAGTACTGGTTTATATGATTCATTGACCGGCAGTCTTCGATACCTGACACACGGGCCGCAGGCAATCATGGTGTCATTTGTGAACGAATGAGCAGTGTCTGAACTCTGTTCACTCACGCACTCATGCGTATTGCAACCCACGTTGGTTGAACGTTTGGGGTTTGAGGGAGACTGTTTTGCGATGCCCAAGTGCCTTGCAGCGCAGAGCTCGAAGTAGAAGCAGCTTGACGGCTTGTGTTGATCCTCAGTTTGCAATACAGGGATGGCCAGTCGCGATGTCCCGACTACAAAGTCATGGAGAACTTCTCCACTAGCACTGAGTGTCCGGTCTGCCAACCTGCTACTGGCATGGGGATTTCCAATAATGATGTGTCTTGGTTACATATTTTTTCATGCACCTTGTTGCCAACTTACACAATGTGCTCATGCACTAGGGACCTGTATTGCAAGATTTCCAGTGCTCGACACCGCACAACGACCAAGGTTGCACTTGTGTGACCAAATTGCCCAAGATGTACCCCGGTGTGAAAGCCATCGGGTAGGCGACTCAGTCAGAGCATGGAAGTGCATGCCAGTAGTGTGTAACTTGAAAAGCCAGTGCTATTGAGAGCTTTAGTACGTGCAGTATTAGCTATTTTTTAAAACATATATAAAATATTAAGAATACCGAACGAATATGATCCCATCGATATATTGCACATTTGCTCAAAGGACTTGATGGCTTTGGATGCTTTTGCTGGACAAGCAGAAATCACCCGCGCCTACCGTTGGGAGCTCAATCTACTTTAAAGGGGGCACTACTGCTGCATCCAATCTATTTGTTTAATTGTGCGCACCTTGAACAAAAGGGTGCTTTCTTGGTCAAACAATTGGATTTTAGGATTTCATTATTCAATTTGATTGCCCAACCACCCAGGCGATGCAGGTCAGAAGGTGTCGCGGACCCAGATCTCAGACATGCATGCTTTATGTCATGACAAGTGAGTTCTCAGCGGCTGAACAACAAATTAAGTAGCATGCATGCATGGTCACATCCACCATGCATAGATCAGCACTGGCACTGGTATATACCATGTCAATCAATGATTGTCCAAATGTCCGGCTGGGCAACCGTGCCATCCAACCACCGTCTCAGGGGCCACTTTGACCTGGAGCATCAGGGTGAAGATGGTGACATTTTGTCCATGTGCAGAGCTCAACATGAAGTGGATGTGTACAAATCTGAGCCCGTATGATCGACAATGTTGCTTTCGTGGGGGGGCGCCTGTATAAAGGGTGACATGTAGATCGATGTGTTGTCAGTGCATTGTGTCATGAACGAAGTTCAAGGTCATCAAGAATATACATTTAAATCAATTTATGGAGTGGTGTCACGTGTATAATATATTAATAAACTGATCAATGATGATCTTTGCAAATGACATGTACACATGAACGCATCTGCATCTAGTCGGCGCATCATAACAGATTTCGACTTAGCGCTTGTGCTTGTTCAATGTGTCTCATGCGCATCCAAGAATGGCCTAGGCGCGGGTTCCGCAACATACTTACCATGCTCCTCAAGGTCAAGCGTGGTGGTTGCCTTGTTGGAGGCCCTCCGTGTGGGAGCTGGGTATGGATCAATTCAGCAACGCACAAGAGGAAACGGGACCACATATTCGGAGACACCAAGTTGGCCTAT